CTGTGAGCTAGTTCTTTGCCTCTTCTGTGTGGGTGCATGGGGCAGAACTTCCTTGGAGCTGCTCTTTTGTCCTATGCCAGTGGAACACCTTTGATGGTGAAGTGGTACTGGGAGTCAGTAAAGTCCCTTGTCTCTCCATCACATTTAGAGAGTGTGAAAGCACAGTGTCTTTTTGGTCCTTTCTAAGAAGAAAGGTGCAGTGTAATTCGTGGTACCGTACCTCATCTCAGGTGAGGCAAAACCACTGTCCCACTGACACCAGTCTGCTCTTACAGGAAGGACAGTGAAGGAAAATACCTCAAGGGTCTTGGAAGCCATGCAGCTGATGGATATCCCACAGCTCTCTCAAGAAATCCAGACTCTGGAAAAAACTTTGCAGACCATATCGTCGTCCACAAAATATGACTTAGGTGAGCAAAAGCTGCTTTACAGGCAAATTGTGCTGTGAGCTTCTTGTACATAGCTCCTCAAAGCAGATGGAGAGGGACAGACTTTCTTGGCACCTGCAAAGACATGTGAACACTGAGATGATGACTGCAGGTGGTCAAGGTCCCTCTTTATTACCTTGACTTTGAAGGGAATGTGTAGTGTGGGCTCTCTATGACCCAATACGTGGTAAAGAAGCCCACCTCCATGCCTTAATATTATCTTCTTGCTTTCTTCACTTCTCTTCCTCTTAACAAACACTGTTGTCTCCCACAGCCCATAGCTGCTGTTTGGAGAGATGGAGGGGGCTGATCCCAACCCTCCATCCTACCCAACAGGCCTTTCCCAAGCCTTTGGGACATCTCCCAGGACCTGTGCTCTTTCCACAGCCCTCCAGCAGTCAATCCATCCAAACCAGTGCTATTCAGCTGGGAGGGTCTTTGCTCTCCTTTTTCCAGAGCCCATGTGCCCCAGAGCACTGGGAGTTGGACATTTCAGGGCGGGAAGGACCACAGGAGTGTGAGTCCCAGACAAAACATAGGGGTTCAGGCCTTGGGCAAGCCCTGCTCCTCTTCCCCCAGCCCACAGTGCTCCATCACTTTGACAAGGGTTTCCAGGGGTAACTGGTGCAGGAAAGTCACCTTTTCTTCCTGGCAAGTCCTTCTCTCTGAAAGCCCATCTCCTTTTCAGTTTAGGATCTGGCCATTCCTCTGGCCTCTCTTTCCCATCTGAAAAGGAAAGAGAGGCTGAGCTCATCTCAGCACATTTTAGTCCTCCTCAGTACTCAGAGGAAGCAAATTGGAGCCACGTGCCCCATGTCTGGAAGACAAAATTATCACACACCCTGATGTACTGTTTTCTCTGGGAGTCTTTGACGAAATGAGAGTAGAACTGGTTAAGAGAACACTGTGTGTGTGGTGGGGGAATAGGAGAGCATGGGCGTGGCACGAGTGTCATGAAGGACAGAGGGATGGGTGTCATGTGTAAGAAATATCCTCAATCCCATTTTGTTTGGACCCATTTTGGGGTGCTGTCAGCACCCCAGCAACACTAAGAGCCTTGTGTCTGACCATACTGTCAGTGTCAGAGTAGGGGAGCATGAGAGTGGCCTCATTGTCCCTGAGGGGGGAGAGCTTTACTTTATTGCCAGAGCAAGCCTTGACAAATCCAGTTATTTCCTGCTTTTCTCCTTTCCCACAGACCTGCCAGTCCTACGGTCCTACAAAGGTAAGCATAGGTGAGATGAGGAAGTGAGTACTCAGGAGCCTGAGTGCAGCTCTGGAAAACACACCCAACCCCCTCAGACAGCTCATTGGAGAAGAACACACTCAGGGAAGGGTGGTTGGATGACTTTTTTTGCTGTTACGTGCTGCCCAAGGCCCTGCCTTTGTTTGTCAGGAGCCTTCTCAGCTGTGGGGAGCAGGCACAGCTGGCTTTTCCTACTTCTGATTTGGCTCTTGGGCCTCTCAGGAAAAGTGTCTGGAGCTGATCTTGCTCCACAGCAGGAGCAGCTCCTTCTCCTTTCAATCAGAATTGAGCTGGAGGACCTCAGTTTGTGACATTGCACCTTGCTTGAGTCCTACCAGGGGTTCCTTCCATTCTCTGATGCATGTGGAAAGCTGAGGCAAGAAACATTTCCTTGTGGCAGAGCAGATCACAAATCCATGTGCAAGCAGGATCATACACTGGTGCTCTCCTGTTATTGAGGAAAAAAAATGCTTAAAACTTGAAAAACCCCTTCAGACTTTGGCAAGGAGTTAATCCAAACCTAATTCCATCTGCTGCAAACTTCTGGTCCTTTTCCTCAGGCCACCTCTCCTCCAGCAATGCAGAGATGGAGGCAGAGGAAGCTGAGCACCACAGCCTCCTCCTTGGAGCTGCCTGCTGCAGTCCCAGGAGCACTGCAGGAGTGCCTTGAGGCATTTGGTGCGTGCTGGTTGCCACTCTCTGTGGCAGGAGGGGAGAGAGATGCTTGAGGTGTCCCAAGACAAGACCTGAGCATGGAGGTGGGGGAAGGGAAGGACAAATGAGAGAGGGATGAAGGCAGAGAAGGGAGAGGTTCAGAAAAGCAGAGTTCATGTTTTCTGCTCACCATGGCTTGACTTGACCATTGCAGGAGATGTCATCCTGGATGCTGACACGGCTCATCCCAGACTGGAAATCTCTGCGGATGGGAGGAGAGTGAAAGATACTGGTGTCATCAGATTCTCGCTCAGAAGTGAGAAGAGATTTGATTCTCATCTGTTTGTGCTGGCAAAGGAAGGATACACTTCTGGGAAACACTATTGGGAAGTAAATGTTGGGACAAGAAGAAACTGGGCCTTGGGTATTGCCTGTGAATCTGTGACTCGCAAAGGAACTTTGACTCTGTGTCCTGAGAATGGCTTCTGGGTTATTGCGTGTGTAGATGGGCAAGATTATTTGGCCTGCACAAATCCTTGGACCTGTCTGACTGTGACTGGCTCTTTGTCAAAGATTGGGATCTTCTTGAACATCCCAGCCAAGCAGGTTTCTTTTTATGATGTCTTTAGGGCAGTAGCTTTGTACACTTTAAACATTGCTGAGGGCAGCAGCCAGGAAGGCAAATTCCTTCCCTTCTTCTCTACAGGCCTTGCTGCTGCTGAGCCCGACACTGAGCCACTAGAAATATTGCCATTTTCTGATGATGATGATGAGTAGTTTACTCTGCATTTCAAAGGTCAATACTGTGATTGAATCACTTTGTAATCAGGCTGCTGATTTGTGTCTTCCAAACAAAAGTATTGAAGGAGAGGGCAAATTTGTCACAGTGGTCAGCTTTCTAAACTATGCATCAGAACAAAAAGTTTTTTTGAGGGAAATTTTATATTGTCAAGAGAAATAATTTTTATTTCATGGTAGTATGAAAAAAGCACTTCCTGTGGATTGTGAATTTTCCTGGAAAATTACTGTATTGGGATGGGTTTTTTTGATCTCATACAATTTTTTTTTTTGTTTTGTTTGTTTTGTGTCTGGGGTGGTTGCTGACCTGCCTCTGCCCCCCAGTCCCCCTGACTTTGGGATCATTGGGATGAATGAGAGCCGGACCAGGGTTTCCAGTGAGAACTGGGGGCAGAGTGAGGAGCAGCTCCTTCCTTCTGGCCAGGCTTTTTGGCTGGCTGGGCCCCTAGTTTCTCTGACTAGAGATACTGTTGCTCTGTGGGTTTTTCCTGTTTCTTTTTGTTTCTTTTCCTTCCTCTGTTTTTTCTGGATCAATATTAGTGTATCTCCTGGAAGTTACTGCCCTTAGGCATTCTGCAGATGCAGCCAGAGTCTCATGAGGTTCTTATTTCACCTCATAAAGTTTAGAACAATTGATTTCCCTTGGCATTGCATGTTTAAAGCCAAATAATATCCATTTTTGATATTTTCCCAGGAAATCCTTCCCTTCCCTGGTATTGGGGTCCCAATGGGGGTTCAAGGAGGGAAAGTGCTCTTCAGCAGTTCCTGGTAGCCTGCCCTGTGTGTCTATACTGTTCACCTCCCTCCTGGCAGCCGGGAGTACCATCTCTTTTCCTGTGGAAAAATAATTGACTAGATGATCCAGCAGAACCTGTATATCCAGTCAGTCTGGATCTCGAGAATGGTTTCAAATAATTTAGGTAGTCTCTCCAGATCTTCTCTATAGAGAAGAGGTGAGGCATCTCACACACACCTCAAGATTGATTGAAAGAGAAATGTACTTTTACCATTACCAGGAAATGAGAGACCTTCTGTTTACCCCAGGTTCACCCTAACACTGGCCACTCCTTTTGCAGTTTCAGATGGTTTTGCAAATAAAAGAATAAATTCACAGAAGGCAATTAATTCCATTTCCCTCTCTCCCTCCCTAAACTAAGGTACCATTCTCTGGCCACTTAAGCCTGGTGCTTTAGCTGGTATACTGACCACCACTGATGGCAATATTGGATTAGTCTAGGTTTACTTGGTGGGTCTCCTCCTATCTGTTTCCAGTTTTTCAATATACATTTAAATAGAGAATTGAAATCTCCCACTTTAATTTTAGAAGAGACCGGCCCCATTTGCAATAATTACAAATATACAAGCTATTATATCTGAAAGTTAAAATGGTATTTCTGGGTTTGCAATGGAAGGGGGAGTAGGGAAGAGAAAATAGACTGCCAAACCAGCAGTCACTAAAACTGACACAAGAGGGTGCTTCAAGTCCACAAATGAGATCTCAGCCACGCACACAAAACTAAAGCGACTCCAATACCCCAGCAAACACTCAGTCACACTCCAACACTCTCTCAGCAAATGAATTTTTATATCACGGACATCTCCATGTTGATATGCTGGAAAACCCAAATCAACACAACACTCTCACATGAACACACTTGCAGAGTTCAAGAAAAATGCAAAGAATGCAAAGGAATTAACAAAACTTCATCACAAAAGCAGCTCCAGATGAGGCCAGGACTGGGTTTCGATTGTAAGTGGAGACTGTTTTTTTTCCTTAATTCCTTTGCCCGAGTCAAGATGGTCGCAGCCTCTGCTATGAGACAGTGGAACAATGATTTTTCTTTAAACTACAAGTTTAGCTTGATACAATGATTCCTGATACCTCCTGGGGATATCCTCTAATACCTTGTAGGGGACTTGAACCCCGGACAGGGGAAACTCTGACCCCCTGAGATTGGCAACTCAAATCTCCCCACAATAAGCTTAGCCAGGGAATCAAACCCTGTTTGCAGGGACTCAAATCCCCCTTACCAGTAACTCTGTGTGGGGATTCATATCCCTTGTCAAGATAAATAATTTAAATGATGCCTTTACTTACACCAGGGATCTTGCCTCGAGTTCCTGCTGGTCAGAAGCTGAGGTTCTCCCTGAGAATTCCTCAGAGCGAGCTGGAGATCTGTTGACTGCAGATTCATTGAAACTCTAGGCTGATCTTCTGTCTGGCTCTCCAATTTACTGTCACAAAATCTCCAAAATATTGGAATAAGAGTCCTTAACACTAATTTAGTTTAAAGAGGGCATAATTTATTCAGAACTGAGGTTGCACAAAGGATACCTCTAACCATTCATGCACACATGATTTTACAAGTGAGTGCATATTACAATTTACCCATTACCATAAAACCCACGCCAAGTTACCAGATTCAATCTTTGTTTTGTCTATTACTACATTCTTGAGCCAGATGTCTTCTTATCTTCCAACTGTCCTTGCTAGGAAAGCAATTTTGCATGCCTTGTTTCTATGCTGAAAGTTCACAGGCAGAGTAAAAATTAAATGAACCCTTCTGGTATCACATAGGATGGCAGCCTCTCTCCAGCTTCTTTCCCTGAGTACTTCCATTCCCATGGAACCACCCTGATAATGGACCTCTGTGTGTTGGACATGGTGGCTGTCACCTTGACATGGCCAACACGCACCTGGATGGGCTCCTGGCAGGTGTCCAGGGTGACACGGTGGCACGCAGTCATCCCATTGTGTCACTACACAACACACAAAAGCATGACACAAGACACTGCTATTGCAAAGGTAAAAAAGAGGAAGTTTTATTTCTGACTCCAACATTTATACTTTTCCAAAGGTGACTGTGGGTCTCAGATTCAGTCAACGAAAGAAACTGAGAGTTTCTATCCAGGCAGAAGCCTGGGAAAGAGTTGGAGAAGAATGTAAATAATTCTTTATCTCTCTTGTTTTTCACATTGTTTATAGTTAAGTTCTATCACTGTGCATCAAGCACTCTGCACCAATGGTGTGGGTTGTTTTCACTTCAGAACCAATAGATTTGGTCCTTGCAGAGCTCTGTATAAAAGAGCAGTGTATTTTGAATAAATAGGAGTTTTACTCTCAGCAGCCTTCTGAGTCAGAGTCTTCTCATTCCTGTCCTGCCTCAACAGTGACAGGTGACAGTGGACTGGAGGGTGAATGTGCCACCTCTCCAATGACACTGGCCAAACCACCACATCAAACCTCTCTGCCTTAATGAAGGAATGCAAAACAATAAGTTGTTTACAGAAAGTTGTGTGAGAAAGTTTTCTACAAGAATGTAAACTCAGAAGCCCTTAGAAAAATCTCAAAAATCAGGGCAACACCATTGGTTGGGAGGGGAGTGCCCCTCTGGGACATGTGGATGAAGGTGTCCTCCAACCTGCCCAGGTGATCTTTGAGCAGAATCACCTCCAGACCCACCTCCATGGGAAACAGGTCATAGTCCAGGGGGTTGGAGAAGAAGATGGCCACAGTGAAGGTCATGGCCTCGTAGACCAGGACTCCCACACAGCCACAAAATGGGGCCTGGAGAACTCGCAGGAGTTGGAGGAGGCAGGGGCATGCAAGGGCTGCAGGGGCTGTGGCCACTGTAAAAGTAGGCCCTGTGGAGGAGAAATCGAGGGGTGGGGTCAGGGGAGGATGGTGAGACTGCCGGGAGATTGTGGTGGAGCAAGTGGTAGGGGGTGGAACTAGTAGGAGACAGTCTCTCCACCACTGGGAGGTGCTGGAACCAACGGGAGATAATGGTGGGACTATTGGGAGATGGTGGGAACATTGGGAGACCAGCAGGAAATGGGCCAAACCCTGGGAGATGCTCCCACCATGGAATGATGACCCCACCCAAACCTCTTCCCCTGCACCCCCAGGGGTCCTCCCCAGCCCTTCCCTCACCTGGGGCTCTCCAAGGTGACATTCTGGGTGGTGTTAGCTAGCTGGATCTCCACAGTCTGCTCCAAGAATTCCCACATCCTGGCATAGGATTTGCTACTCCACAGGGTCAGAATCTTATCAAATTTGGGGTTTCCTTGGGAAAATCTCAAGGTTTCCTTATCACTCTCTACTACTCCCTCAAAGGTGGTTGTAATCAGGTGGGGGTTGGTTTCTTCTCCCAGGCAACCACTGACAGAACAAGAGGACACAGTCCTCAGCTGTGCCAGGGGAAGTTTAGGTTAAATATCAGGAAAAAAAAATTCACTGAAGGAGTGCTGGAATCATCTGCCCAGAGAGGTGGTGGAATCACCACTCCTAGACATGTTTTAAAAAAGACTGGACATGGCACTGTCAGTTATTGTTCCCTATCAATGAAGTGAATTCCAGTGATCTGAGGGGTAGGTCTGATAATTAAAGTCTCTGATGTACACAAGAGTAGAAAGATCACCCAGCAGCTGGCAAAAAGAAGAAACTAGAAGAAACTGTCTAAGAGAATTTTCATCTGCAATGATTTCTGCAGGCTGCAAGACTCAAATGATAACTTGCAAAAAAGTGTTCAATAGCATGCATTCAGCATTGGACTTATTGCTAAAATAATTTATTAATGCTATATTGCTTCTCTGAACTTGGAATGTGGTAGTAAACAAGTGTCTCATTACAATTCACATAGAGCTGTGCAGTGTGCTCCATATTCTCCTCCCTCTATTCAGAAAGAAGCTGAATGATACCTCTGGAACTTGCACTTAAAATTAGCCATAGTAACTCACTGATTTGTTTGAACATATCCTCCAGCAAATAGATCCTCCATCAAATCATGGCTTCACTCAGAACAATTAAACCCGTGGAACAGGACTTCACTCAAATACATTTACTGCTCTAACCCTGCCTTTGCCATATGCTGATTTCCCGCAGAGGGAGGAAGTCTGAGTACCATGCAAGATTTTCCAAATAGAATAATAAATAAGTGGGTGTTTGAGCTCTGAAAGGATGTGGAGCTCTGAAAGAATGTGAAGCCCTCAAAGTGGTGTAGCTGATTTGGTATTTTACTTGCATAGAGTAACCCCAACATTTTCCAGCATGTTTTCAGCTTGGAAACCTGTGTGCACTTATGTAAAACACTGCCAAGAACAAATGAAGGTGAAGCACATATGACAAATTAATGAACAGATGAGGCCTCTGCTATCCCACTTTCCCAGCTGTGGAAGGTTTTACTAACTTTTAAGGACAGTAATTAACATGTTTCTGCTGGAGGCACCCTAGGAAGGGGAACCTGTGCCCAGACTCTC